TGTGTAAGAAATAAAGCTGTCTTATATCATACATTCAAACATCTGCGTATAATTTTTCAGTGGGATAAAGTTTCGGTTTTTTAAATATCATTTTTAGAATACTTTTTTGAAAAACATCTAAATTATAGATATGTGAGGAACATGCAGCTCCCCATGCTAATATACCATATGTGAGATGAGGCTCAATCAGTGCATGGTATAATGTTCGAAGATATTTTTCTGTCAATATATTCCCAAGGTATTTAATTTTGTAGGATACAAATCTAACTTTCTTTAAAATATAATTGACATGGATGTCCCATCGTAAGTGAGGATCCAAGACCACTCCAAGGTATTTTATGTTGGGCACTCTATTAATTTGCATTTTTTGATCATTAATATTGAAGGAGAAATTTGTGTAATTTGGCAGATGTCTAGCATAAGATCCAAATGGTAAAATATGTGTTTTAGAGTAGTTAATGCTTAATTTTCTACTGTTAAACCACCGAATAATTTTGATAAAATCATTTTCAATTACATTTTTCAGATCAGACCAGTCAGTGCCTTCATATAATATTGCAGTATCATCTGCAAAACTAGTTATTTTGCCAACACAATTAATTTTCAAAATATCATTTAAATATATATTGAATAACAGCGGACCTAAGACAGTTCCTTGTGGGACACCACACTTAATATACATTTCTTTACTAAATGATCCTGATATCTGCACAGATTGTGGGCGATTTGACAAATAACTTTCGATCAGTGAGTACGCGTTTCCTCTGAAACCAATTCTCTCCAATGCTTCTAATAATAATTTGTGATTAACTGTGTCGAAAGCTTTCTTTAAATCAACAAAAATGCAGATTGAAGGGATTCTGTTATTAATATTTTGATGCATTAGATTAACAATTTTAGTTATTGCGTCCGATGTAGCCTTCCCTTCTGTAAATCCATATTGATTTTCACTTAAAATTTTGAATTTTGTGAGGTATCGAATCATTCTAGTAGATAAAACTTTTTCAAAAACCTTTGCTACACTGGATATTATTGATATTGGTCTATAGTTGTTAACATCAGTTTTTGTTCCTGATTTATGTATCGGTATTATATTACCTTTTTTTAAAATTGAGGGATATATGCCAGATTCAAAGCATTTGTTTATTAGGTAAGTGAGTGGTTCTGTTATGTCCTCGGCTATAATTTTCAAATGCTTGCTTTTAATACCATCGAACCCAGGACTTCTCCGATTTTTTAAGTACATAACAGTGGTGTATACTTCACATTGCTCGACTTTATCCAAAATAAATGAGTTCAAAGTTCTTTTTGGAGGCTGAGTATTTTGTACATTTGCTTGTATATTACTTGCTAAATTTTCGCCTATGTCAGTAAAGAATTGTACAAATTCATCGCATATCTGTTGAGTATTTTTTAATACTGTTCCCGATGTTGTATTTAACTCAGTGACACACTCTTTAAATTTTGTTTTCCCAGTAATCTCATCAATAGTTGTCCAAAGCCGCTTAGGATCATTTAAGTTATTATTCAATTTATTTAGGTAATGTTTTCGTTTGGTTTGCCTTACAAGCTCGGCAACATGCTATTTTACTTTGCCTCAGCCATCGTTCGGTAAGGCGTATTTTGCATATGGAACTCCATTTTCACCCCTACAAATTGGCCAGTTACAGTCTGAAGATTACGCATAACGAATGAACTTCACACGTGAGATTTGAGAACCTCATCTTGGTCATGAGTGGTGAAGCTCACTTTCACCTTAACGGCATGATTAACCAGCAGAATTGCCGTTATTGTGCTAATGAAAATCCGCGACATTTACATGAAAGACCGCTGCACACCCCAAAAGTGACGGTTTGATGCACTGTATCGCAAACTTGCATCATCGGCCCTTACTTTTTCGAAGACGGTAATGGCAATGCTGTTACCGTAAACTCTGAGCGCTATGTCGAAATGATCATCAACTTCTTTTCACCTGAATTACGACGACGTCGTGTTCCATTCCAACGTGTGTGGTTGCAACAGGATGCGGCGACCGGCCACACAGCCAGAGCAACGATGAACGTTATTCGCCCTCTCTTCCGTGGTCGTCTTATTTCCAGGTTTGGTGATGTTCATTGGCCTCCTCGGTCCCCAAATTTATCCATCTGCGATTTTTTCCTATGTGTGCATACGAGCACAAGCCTCGAACTCTGGATGAGTTGAAGGAGGCAATTCGCGTGGAGGTCGCCCAAGTTGAGGAAGCGATGTTAGTAGTAGTAGTAGTAGTAGAAAGATTTATTTAGCACATTTGTCTACATAAATAGAATAATTGTAAACAACTTAGAACTAGTAAATTCAAGCCATATGGTGTATGATGTAAATGCTGGGCAACCTATAATTGTAGATTTAACAAGTGATTTCTCAATTTTACTTTAAATTTTGTCAAAGTTTTCTGGTCTTTTATCTCCGAGTATAATTTATTATATTTAATCAACCCTTGATGGAATACAGATTTGTAGCATATGTTATACTTTTTGGTCATTAAATGGAAGTCATCTTTATTTCTGGTATTATCTAAATGATGGTCGACATTTGATGATGTTAAATTAGTTAGACTTGATGGAAATATATTATTTTTTACTTTATAAATGAATACCATTACAAGATACTTGATAAAAATTTTTACATTGAGCCATTTTAATTTGCTAAGCATTTGCCTAATTGGAGTATATTTATCTTTATTTAGTATTATTCTCATGCACTTATTTTGTAAAATTTGCAGTCTTTCAAAAATGGAATTATTTGCTAAATATAGAAACTCTCGATAAATATCCCACTTTACTACTAATCTTATTTATAACTTTTTCATAATGAATATCAAAAATTAATCGAGAGTCAACAAAAACCCCCAGGTATTTAAATTTTTCTGCGAATTCAATATCTTCACCATCAATATTCAGTTGAACATTTGTACATTGTTTTTTTCCGATTAACAAGGCTTTCGTTTTACTTGCATTTAATTTTAGTCTGTTAGATGCTAACCATTTTGAGACAAGCTTCAAGTCTTCATTTATATAAGAGATACCAGACTGAATATTTTTAGTACTTATATAAATCATAGTGTCATCGGCGAAAATCTGAATTTTGCATTTTTTGACTATGGCAGGTAAATCATTTATGTATAAAATACAAAGAAGTGGTCCCAGGATACTGCCCTGTGGAACACCCAACGTATTTTCAATTTTTGATGAAATAGTGTTATTAACTTTTGTAATTTGCATCCTTTTAGACAAATAATTTCTAAACCAATCTAAAACACTTCCTGTTATACCATATGCCTTCAATTTACCTAACAAAATATCTCTATCAATCGTTTCAAATGCCCTCTTCAAATCCAAAAATACTGCTATGACAACTTCTTCTGAGTCTATGGCTCTTCTCCAATTCTCAATTACCAACTGGAAAGCTGTTTCAGTGGAATATTTTTTTCGAAAACCTGCTTGCGCCTCCACTAAAATTTTGTTTTCTTCTATAAACTGCATTAATTGGTAATCCACTATGGTATCTAATAATTTTTCAATGTCTGGTAACACATTTACTGGTCTCATATCGCTGCATCTTTTAGAATTTTTTATTTTGGGAACTGGTGTTGTTGTAGAGCATTTCAAATTTTCAGGAAAAGAACTGCTTCTTAGTGAACAATTGATCCAATTTAATACAGGATATCCCAAAATTTCGAAACAGTTTTTCAGCACGTTTTTAGTAGTGATTTCGGCACAGTTGTTATTTGATTTTAAACTGTTTACTATTTTTCTTAGATAATTCAATGATACCCTGGAAACTGATTTTCATATAGTCAGGTGCAGCATTGGCAGTAGCCACAATATCAAAAATACTTTCCACAAAATATTCATTCAGTTTGTTTGCAATCACCAAAGAATTTGTTTCGGTACCGTTTTCGAATTGAACTTGATTTACACAATCATGCGGTTTCGAATTGATCAGTCTTTTTAAAGTCTTCCACATCTTTACACTGTCGCACTTGTTATTATCGATTTGTTTATCATAGAATTTCCTTTTTTCTTCTCTAATTATATACACACATTTATTCCTAAGAGTTTTATATACCTCCCAATCATCATTTGATTTTGTGAATATACATTTTTTGTATTGTTTGTCGAGCAAATCACTTTTTTATCAGTTGCAAGATCTAAACAAGTTTTTATATTTCCTATTATGTTGTCATATATTTTTTCATATTCTCACCAAAATTCCAATAGCAGCCAGCAAGTTCTCGTTCAAGTTTTTCGTACTTAATAGTATTTACGATTTTCTTAATTTTTGTATCAGAAAAATGCATGTATTGTCCAACTGTGATCGCTAACTTTAGGTGTATGTACAGCTTTAATCCCTGCACATTTGAAATCATTTACAATAACAAGATCTAACAAAGTCTCTGATAATGATGTTATTCTGGTACTCTCTTCAATTTTTTGCTTGAACCCATAGTTGTTTATGGTTTCTTTCAGTTTTCTTGTTTTCATGCTTTTACCATAATAATTTAAATTAAAATCACCTAAAAGTATTATATTGTTTCTTTAAAAAACGTTAAAAATGTATCCGCATCACTGTTTGGTGAACGGTAAAAAGTACAAAGATCATAACGTTTCCCAAATAATTTGAACTGCATATGTGCATACCAGTATGCATAGTCTAAAGTGGTACAATCGAATAATGTGATCTGTATTTTGTGGTAGAGAGAGTCTACGCGAAGTTTCAAGAACTCCCCCACACGTGATTTTCCACACCTGATTGTGAAAAACGCTATTTTATCGTGAACCAGAATCCATCAACAAATTTGTTTCAGAGTAAAAATGACCGATTTTGTGATTTTTTAAAAACAGTCCTTCCTTTGTGCCGGACCCTGTACTTAGTATTTGTATCTGCGGTGAAATATTCCAAGTAACTGATACCTGGTACTTGAAATAGTGTTCACTGGTATTTGTGACAGCTCTGATTACCTGGATCCGACGCTACTCCCTTCATTTTCACTGGATGACGGTAGGGGTCGCCTCCAAAATGGCACAGCTACAGGACCGAGGCCAGGAGGTGGCACAAATGTAGTCGGTTTCTTTTTCTTCCGATACAACGCGGAAGCCGTTGGACTACTGAAACGGCAATTGAACACACCCGGTGGTTGTGTCGGTTTTTCCATCAGTCGTTTTACGTGGAAGAACTTGTAGTACAGCAGCATGAAGATGATACCGACTCCAAAAAGGCCCACCTGTTGATTGAGAAAAGTCTTCATTTATCTTAATTTGTTCAGATAGTAAACAAAAACACACGGAAATATCACTTTTTATTTCAATAAGTGTTTAAAATGTTGCTCGTTAGGGTTTGTAAATCTACAATTCGTTTATAATTCAAAACGGAAACTACCAACATAAACAGTAATTCGCAAGATTAGACGTGGCAACAACCAAATAACAACCCGAATTTTTTTCCGCATTCTTTTCATCAACACAGATATCCTGGGTAAACTGTATTTATTATTATACATGTTTAGTTATTTGATGCTAAGCGAAAGAAAGAAATTTAATTATTATTAATTGATAAAATGGCCTGCTAGATCTCCTGATTTGACGCCATCACACTTTTTTCTATGGGGCCTTTTGAAATCTATTGTGTTTACTCCCCAACCCAAATGTTTGGATGAACTTCGTCAACGCATCATCGAAAGCTGCCATGATATCCCACAACATGTTTTTGAAAATGTCTGTCAGGAATTTGGACATCGCCATGACCAACAACATTTTGAACACTTATTGAAATAAAACGTGATATTTTCGTGTGTTTTTGTTTTCTATCTGGACAAATTAAGATAAATGAAGATTTTTATAAATTTATCAAAAACCGATTTTAAAAATCACACGTCAAAATAAAGGACTTCGAAAGACAAGCTATTTCTCGATTTTGAAAGTTTTAAGGGGATGACCCTGGGGGGCAAAGGGTGAAGTAGTTTTTGGTTAAAAAGTTATCCCCCTTGACAAAACTTTCGACATGTCTCGGCGTGTTTTCTTTTAATCAGTTGTTTACGATAAATCCGTTTTCAAATGTCTATTGAATCAGGGAAAAGAGTCTATCAAAATAGTTTTAATAATGTACTAACCGCCAATATAGGCACCAGTTCCCAGTACATAGGTCTATTGGGCCAAACTGCTGCAAGCCATGCTCCAACTAACAGGCAATTTTCTAACAACATAACTATGTAAAATATTAACATAGTCCTTCTATGAGGCTTTTCCTGAAAATTATAAATCAACTCAATAAAAGTTGGAAACGTTGAGCTTTGTCAGCATGTTACATCATTTATAATAGGCTACTTGACTCATATCTAATTTCATAGAATAACTGAGTATTTCTCACAATATACAGGGTGGCCCATCCATGGGTGGACGGAATACTACTCATAAACAAATACATTTAGGGAAAATCTATTTCTGGCATGTTATACATGACATTTGAGGGCACATTTCTAAAATATTGTTATACAGGGTGTCCCAATTTTTACCTACATATCAAAGTTATGATTTTTTAAATGGAATGCCTCAAATTTTATTGGATATTTGGATGAACCAATTCAAAAGAAGAAGATTGATACAACATACTATGGGGTTTTGGTAATTAGCTCCTGAGATGTAAATGCATCACCCTGTATATTTGTGAAAGTTTGGATTCAATTTTGTATAAGCTTTTTTTGGTATTTCAGATAAAATCATAGATTTTGAGTTATTAAGCTTTTAATAGAACACACCAAAATTAAGGAAAAAAATGACATCATCCATGGTAACAAAAGACAAACAGTGGGCTACTTCCATATTGCCACTAAGAGTACCGATTTGGCGTAAAAACTAATAACAGTCAGAACAGTATAAATCAGCTTCAAGCGTAATAGAGAAAAACAACTATAACAACAATATAAACGAACAACTATCACTACTCAAGACCTAATCTACAAAAACTGCTCAAAAATATCTCCACCATGTTGAATATACAGCCGTAGTCTTTGGATAAATGACTGTTGCACATCCCTCAGCATGTGTTCCCCTATGTTCAGAAAAGCATCCTTAATCCTTTCCTTCATATTTTCCGGGGTAGATGGTGGGTATCTATATGTACAAACCTCTTGCTTAACGTAGCCCCATAGAAAGAAGACCATCGGTGTCTTATCTGGTGACGTAGGAGGCCAACATATAGGCCCATCACCACCGATCCAACGATTGTTACTCCAGGCGTCCAAATAGTTACGCACATGATTATGATAATGCTCAGGTGCGCCGTCATGTTGGAAGTATGTATGCATCCGAGTTTGCAGGTTGACACCCTCCAAAAGTAAAGGCAAATGCTCGATCAAAAAATTCAAGTATTCTGTACCTAATCTGTTGTCGAAAAAGAAAGGTCCGATAACTTGTCTGACAATAACTCCTCCCCAAACATTCAAGCTCCATTTATTTTGGAAATCTATTTGCCTAGCCAAAGTACTCGTAAGGGTTTTCCGTCGTATAATAGTGCATGTTATGCCTGTTGACAGCACCTATGCTGTTAAAAGTTGCCCCATCGCGAAAAAGAACCTTATCCAGGAAAGTAGTGTCTTCATTCACTTTAGTTAGCATTATTCTACAAAACTCCATTCGAGCTGCGAAATCCTGAGGACGAAGGCCTTGATGCAAGCATAGGTGATATGGATGGTACCCATGCTTGTGAATTATGCTTTGGACAGAAGTTCTGCATATATCAGTTTCTGCTCCAATTTCCCGTGCACTTAAATGGGGATTTTCCTGCAACTTTAATAGAACCCCAACTGATTCGCCTCATTGCTGACACTTGGATTATATCAAAAATAGCCGTAAAAACCCTTATGTGCTTGCCGAAGTGGGGGTTTTTTCTAGACAAAACACCTACTACACACTAGCTAGTTACCAAAACCCCATAGTATATTATATCAATTTTCTTGTTTTGAATCGGTTTATCCAAATCTGCAATAAAATTTGAGGCATTCCATTTGGAAAAATCACAACTTTGATATGTAGGTCGAAATTGGGACACCCTGTATAATGGCCAATATTTTAGAAATGCGTCCTCAAATGTCATGTATAACATCCCATAAATTGATTTTCACAAAATGTAAGTAAGGTCTTTTAGGACTTGAAAAAGATTATAGAAGTATTATTTTTTTGTTTAAGATTTACTTAAAGAAATGTCAACTAGCCTATTATTAGATACAATTCTCATTAAACCATTTGACTGCAAGCCCATGTCGCAAATCTTTTTACTAGATCCATATAAACCATTATAAGACTTTACATATACAAATTAAAAAAAATAGGTGCATCATAATAGTGAACCATGATTATAACTGTGGAATATATTTTACTAATTTTAAATTAGAAAAGCTTATGTAAACATCACTTACCTGCAAGTTAATATATGCTAATATGTAAACACCCGCAATCAAGCCACACACTCCTAATTTTCTACCTCTTTGTCCATGAAATGGACTTTTTGGACTCAGTAACCATAAAAACATACACGCCCAATGAAGAGCCAATACTAAAATTACCTGCAAGGAAATAAATTACTGTTAAAAATAAATGACTACCTTTGATCATAGGCATCTTCAAATCATCATATACCTAAAACTTCTGATATTCCTGGAATGTGCATAAGGTACACATGTTATTTATCTAGAATACCAGAAACTGCTACTGCTATACTGATCTAAAGATTGATCAAATATATGAGTGTATTGTGTATATTGTATAAACTGGTGGACAGTTGATTTGTAACATGGAACATTTTACCCATATTCAAATCTCGATATTTTCGGAACGCGTTCTTGACCAACTCTTTTTAATTACTTTCTTTAGGAACATTTTTTCAAAATTCGATAATTTGATTTATAGCGAACTTTCGAAAATTTTGAGAAATTACTTTTTTTAGCATAGTACAAAGATCAAAAAATGAAAATCTGACATAGCCCTAAACATTGCTAAAAAAACCTGACATCCTTTGCTCACCCTGTATAAGTGGATAAATAAAAGATATTTACCGATCGAACCGTGTTCTCAAAGAGTTGGTCAAGAATCTTCCGAATATAGCAACTCGATATCTCTTTCCGTTCCGAAAATATCGAGTTTTGAATTTGGGTGAAATTTTCCATGCTGCAAAGCACCTATAGTCAAAATCACGAAAGATGACTATTACGTCAAACCATAAATTGTACTGAAGTAATCAATGGACGTACGTCGATGATAAAATCACGATGCCAGGAACATAATGACAACAAATTTATATTATAATTTTACGAAGTTAGATTATTTCACTGATTATTTTTATTTTCAATTTATTTCATGGTTTTGAGTGATACCTTAATAATAATTTTAGTGGGAAGTTTTTCTTTTGAAAAAAACAGTTATGTATAGAATTCCTTAAGACAGGAACACCAAAGACCAAAGTATTATTCGAAAACAACCTAACCTGCTTTAACATAACCTGACCATTTTATGATCGATACGTCATACCACAGATTGTACTGAAGTAATCAATGGACGTACGTCGATGATAAGATCACGATGACAGGAACATAATGACAACAATACATAAAGCAGGTTATGTTGTTTTTGAATAATACTTTGATCTTTGGTGTTCCTGTCTCAAGGTATTCTACTCATAACTCTTTTTTTCAAAACAAAAACTCCCCACTAAAATTATTAAGGTATCACTCAAAACCATGAAATAAAATGAAAATAAAAATAATCAGTGAAATAACCTAACTTCGCAAAATCATAATATTAATTTGTTGTCATTATGTTCCTGACTCATGATTTTATCATCGACGTACATACGTCCATTGATTACTTCTGTACAATTTATGGTATGATGTTATAGTCATCTTTCGTGATTTCGACTATATCTACTAGTTTATTTTGATCTCCTGGTTCTTATTTTACAAATTAGGTACCTAATTAGAAATAAGAGTCCGGAAAATCATACATTATTTAAGAATAAAATTTGTTTGAATATATTCAATGTTAGAAAAAGATATGTTAATTCTTACCCATGTTTTGTAACTAGCAGCATATGCACTCAAAGCTATCACCCTAGCAGTGACGGTTCCAGCTCTCCAGAGTAACTGGGATGCTACACCCAGCCAAGTTAAGACTAGCTGTTCAATATGCTGAACATGTTTGCTGAATGAGGCTAGAGCCCAGCATACCGAAAATAAAGATAATGAGGCAGATACAGTCAAAAGGTCTGCTGGAGGGCTATCTTCATCACCTGTAGAATAGAACAATTTAAGCAAGGGTTACCATTTAGGTTAGCGGAAGGACTATTTCCAATAAGATACAACTCCCCTAATAATTTTAAGGGTACATTGTTAATATCACAGTAAAGTATGTACTTATATTTGAATTATACAGGGTGCATTTACTGGCAGCTCAGTTTTTTTTTTGAAAAACGCTCAGACCCGTCGATTTTGTTTTTGAGGGGGACACAAGTTTGGCAAAAAAATCACGTTAACGCGTGGATGACACCAACCCCAAAATCTTAAATGGAAAGGGGGGTCGAGTGATACCTTATTTTAAAGGTCTTTCAATTCCCTTTATAATGATATAAAATTATGTACGTCAGATCAGTAGTTTTGAAGATTTATTGATTTAAAGCTTAAATAAAACTAATACTTCATCATTAGTGGAGATCAATACATTTGGCAGCAAAGTAATTTAAAAATGAAGAATGAACTGACCCGTTAGGCAAGTAAATGTTGGAAATGGCCACCATGACTCTCCATGCAATAATAAAGATTTTGCTCAAAACGTTGCCGCACATTTTGAGGAGTAATTTGAAGGCACTCATTCACAATTCTTTGTCGCAGGTCTTCTAATGATGTTGGCTGAGCAGCATAGATTTTGCTTTTTAAATGACCCCACATAAAGAAATCCAAAGATAATAAATCTGGTGATCTTGGGGGCCATTCAATGGCACCTCTTCTACCAATCCATCGATTTGGAAACGTCTGATCTAAATATTGTCGAACACGTAATGCGTAATGTGGTGGGGCACCATCCTGTTGGAACATCAACCTATTCGCAATGTACTGCTGATCATTCTGATTTTCAATTATGGCTGTTATAATAATTATATAATACATTTCACCGGTCAAATTTCCAGGTAAGAAAAAAGGACCAACTAAATCATCGCCAAAAATACCAGCCCAAACATTTAATTTTTGTGGCTGCTGTGTATGAAGCTCATGATAAATTCTGGGATTTGAATCGGACCAATATCGGCAGTTATGACGATTTACTACGCCATTTAAGAAAAAGGAACATTCGTCGGAAAGACAAGTGTTGAATAGAAAATGTTCATCATTTATAATTCGTTCAGTCATATCTTCACAAAATTGTAATCGCCGATCAAAATCGTATTCATTATGTTCTTGTACCAGGTGCATTTTATACGGATGAAAGCTATAGGCCTTTAGAATCCGTTGGACAGTACGTCGACTAACACCACACACAGTCTCCAATTTGCGGGTACTTAACGTAGGATCTACATAAACTTGCCCTAAAACCCCCAATTTAGCTACAAGTTCTAGAACATATTTTCGATGCACATTACTGTTCTCATGTCGCTCATTAAATATTTCTGCTGTTCTATTAGCGCACTGAATATTTCCGAAAAATATTTCGATAATTTCAACTCTATCTGCTGTGGAATATACCTTGATAAATTTATGTAATAAAGTGTTACAAGTTATTTTAGCAACAAAGTTTGGTCAAATCAATCGCAAACTATGTACTAAATTCCTATTTAAAATAAGTACGAGGTATTTCCTTATCTTTCTTCAAGAAATAACTTTTTTGTCACAAAAAAACGCTCCAACAGCTATTTTCAACAACAAAATGATAAACAAACCATACTTATTAAGTAAATTCTTTTAGTCAAATTTCTTCTGAAAATAGTACAAACTAATCTGATGTACCTATTAAAGTCTACTTTAAGCTTTAAATCAATAAATCTTCAAAACTACTGAACTGAAGCTCATGTATTTTAAATCATTATAAAGGGAATTGAAAGACATTTAAAATAAGGTATCACTCGACCCCCCTTTCCATTTAAGATTTTAGGGTTGGTGTCACCCCCGCCCAGGGGGCTGCACGCGTTAACGTGATTTTTTGACAAACTTGTGTCCCCCTCGAAAACAAAATTGACGGGTCTGAGTGTTTTTCCAAAAAAAAAAAACTGAGCTGCCAGTAAATGCGTCTGTTTCGTTTTCGATGCGCCACCCTGTATTTATAATCGTTGACGTTCGACCACAAAACAACATTCACAATGCACAAGGTGAGAATGCACTTCCTTGAAAAAGTATCTGCCTCTGATGTGCAGTGCCAGGTGCCTGAACCAACAAAGAGTAAATAGAAAACTGCTTATAGAAACCACCACCTGAGCAAGGTTATTATTGGTATCATCTGTCATAAATGGTTATGTCACAAAGGGCCAGTTTGAAGGCTGTTACAAACTGTGTCACTTAAAATGAAAATTTCAAAACCAAAAATGAACGGTAATGATTGGTAGATGGCTTAAAACTGCTTGAAGAAAATAATAAGCTTATAAACTGACACATGAATCATATGTTATTTGACAAACAAATGCTGATGGTTTAGTAACCATTCATGAGTGAATATGATAATTTAGTTTATAATACATACCTGGTAATAATGTCAGCTGCAATAATAGCATAGGGGCAGCTTGAAGAAACCCATGAACTAGCCTCAGTATACACAAGTCCCTAACTTCACCTTTCACACTACCTAACTGAACTGGTATTAAAAGACGAGCATATCTCCATAACACCCCTAACTGCATTACATGTAGTCCTATCACAAACATGCATTTGAACCCTGTTGGTTTATGCTTCAGATACCAATGCAGCGATAGAATCTGGCAAACCAGAGTGGTCAGTAATATGGCACTCAGACACTCTGTGAATAGGCCTCTTAGGTTCTTCTCATACAGAGCATACACAACTAGGATATCAAAGACAACATCACAGAAGTATGCTGCAAGTGATACTATATTGAATAGTAGGTCGCATAATGGCAAAAATTCTGCCATGTCTCTGTGAGGATCATCTCATGCTGAAAAAAATGCGGGATAAGTGATATGTTTTACAAAGGCGCATCTTTAACATACTTGCCCTCCAGTATTATCCTGGGCTATACTCCACATTCCTAACCTCCTTTCATTTCCGCAATGGCTTTAAATTCTAAGTGAAAAATGCGTTATATACTCTCCGTACAGATATATTTAACATTCCTGACTTTGCCAGTGCGCCTTCTAATGATGAATTATTGTCCAACACTCCATACAGCAAATAAAAAATACTTTCATAAAATATTTTACATTTACAACAATCACAATCAACGAATCAACAAGTGCCCAAAGGAATGTAATAAACGACATACGCTCAACTTTGACATCTATGACAGGAAGAAACGAAGAAAAGAGGAACGTCAATTATAAAGGCAGCCATACGCCAGCCACACGAATCTATACAGTGGCGCACCCAGAATTCCTGTTCAGTAGGCACTAACTTAATTAGTAGCGCAATAAAACAAACATCTTTGATATGCTAATGGCGCAGTACCGCGTACCTATCGGTGTGATGTAGTTTTTCTACCTATACAATATATACAGGGTGTCCTGGAAGTTGGGACTTTCCAGAAACAACTAGGCTTGAAATAACAAACCTATTCGGTTTGTTCGTACAGCCTGTTTGCTGACAATCAGCAAACTGATAGTCGGCGACAAGTCATGACCTAGTTTACGCAGTTAGGTGCCACTGAGACGTCGCTGACTGTATTGATTGCGTACATGAGAACGTTACGAGTTGGCCGAGGGAGGTAAGACCGATTACCGACAAATCCGCTGTTCGTACAGAAACTGCTGTCTGTTTGATGACTGTCAAATTAGTCAGCAGATAATTTTCCAGTAGTCAGAGCTCGAAATCTAGTACCATCATTATTCGAATGTAAAATTTTTCAGAATGAAGTAGACAATTTTGGAAAAGTTGGGGTATGTTAATTTGCTGTAAACCAGAAGGATCTAGGATTTTTTGACCAACTGCCCGAATTTTCCTGTAGAGATGGTAACATGGACACTTTCTAGAAAAAGTAACAGCACCCAAAAATATCAAGTATATTTACTCAGTAATTCCCATTCAATTCTCATATAAAAAGTATAAACATAAATTGGAAGAAATGTCACACATCGAATGACAAGTTGAAGAAGTAAATACATATTAAGAATTCTGAATTAACGTCTGCAGTGATTATGCATAAGAAATGTACAAAGTATAGCGAATGACTTTTAATAAAACTCAGATAGTAGGGTTTTTGTTCCCTTGTCGCTCAGCCTCGAAGTGTATGCACAAACAGTATTTATAAATTCTAGCTATGTAAGTCCGATCAAAGCTGATGAAAAAAAAAACAAAGTAACGAATTCTGGAGATTTTACGATACAGCTTTTTTCCACGGGTGCCCACGGAGAGAGAGTGGTCGACTGTTTCTGCTGGGGTAAAACTAATATATCACAGAGGATGGGGTAGGAACATCATTCCGACCGGCAATTAAGGCAATTAAACTTTCACCACTTTGGTAACAATTAGGATACGCTGTTCTATTGTGTAATGATTCATTTTGATAAATTCCCGCCTGACTACTGTCGATCTCTCATGTCACAATCATTATGACTACTATTCGTCACTGTTCGTCAGAGCGGTCCGGTGGACCTTTGTTCTTAGTTAAAAGTCTCATCGGTCTGTTAGTCTATCAGGTCTGGCTACCCAGATTCCAAACATGTTTTAGGGGAAAAGGGAAAGACGGAAAGAAAGGAAGGACGAAATAGCGCAAAAAAAAGAAGTAAATCATTTGAAATAGCTTAAGCATTATTGCTTTGACTACTCGAATAATTTTGTAACTCCAAAGAATAATTTTGGTCAGTTTGCGTACTTGCTCGACTGTGTAGTCTACTGAATCAAGCAACAGAGGGTTGCTGTGCGATTCGGCTTGATTATAACGCCGCTGTGCCTGTTGTTTTACAAAATCCTTTAGATATGGGACATCAAGATCTCTGTGAATGGTCTCATTTGACACTTACCAAAGGGCGTTAGTGATTGTGCGTAGGGTTCTGTTTTGCAGGACTTGGATGTGCGTCTTGGCAAGAAAACAACAAACCGCGCATGCATAGGTGATTGCGGGTCTCATTACGATTTTATACAACCGATTCTTGTTGATCAAACTTAATTCTGAATTTCTGCACAACAAAGGATAAAGCTGCTGAAAGGTAATTTGGAATTTTGTTTTCAAAATATCAGTATGTTTCTGCCAGGTCAACCTTTCGTCAATGATGACTCCAAGGTATCAGACAGATTGCTTCCATGGTATACGAGTTCCATTCACTGATATCTCTGAGGGGGCACCGCGTCGTTTTTAAGTACAATAGATTGCCTTCGTTTGCGAAGTATTAATTTTGATCAACCACTGATCCGCCCACTCCAATACTTCCTCCACCGCAGTCTGCAGTCTGTCGTGAACTAGGTTACCAGAACAAGACTGGGCTAGCAGTGCAGTGTCGTCAGCATAGAGATAGACTTCACAGTTGCTGGGGCAAGGGATGTCATGTATATAAAGTGAATAAAGGATTGGTCCTAAGACCGAACCCTGAGGAACACCGACAACACATTGTTAATTTTGATCCGAAACTTCCTTCCTTCTAGAAAAGATCAACAGTTTTAGTATCCAAAATGGAAATCCCTTTTGGATGAGCTTATACAAGAGGCCCATGTGCCACACCTTGTCAAATGCCTTTGATACATCTAAAAGCAAGATACCAGTACTATTGTTCAGGGTGAACCCCCTGGTTACATGCTGCACCCGCCTGACTGCCTGTAGCTCCGTACTATGCTCAGAGCGAAAGCAGAATTGCACGCCAGGAATCACAAGGTGATTTGACGAGAAATTCTCAAGGTGACGATAAATTACCTTTTCAGGGAGCTTAAAAGGAGCTGACAGCAGGCCAATGGGATGGTAATCCTGGGGGAATATTGAACCTGCCTTCTTTGGGATCATGATGACTTCAGCGATCTTCCACGCCTTAGGAAAGTAATGAGTTCTGAGCATTGCATTGATTATTGCCACCAGATAAGTCAAAGCCTTGAGCGAAAGCAGCTTCAATGCCTTGTTGGTGATTTGATCTTCTCCAGGTGCCGTACGCACCCTTAGGTCCTTCATGTGGCCTTGGAGCTCTGCTGGTGTGTAAAATGGAATATCAGAGGATTCCGTTGATGTCCTATGCTGAGATTGATCTGAAGAGTCTTCCGTAGAATAATCTTCTGAAAAGCAGTCACCGATGCTAGCACTGATGTTGTTGTCGCCATTCGCTATGAAATATCTCCTGACAGATCCTACAATTTATCGTTCCTCGTCAAGGTCATTGTCCAGATCATAATTGGGAGAGAACTGTCTTTCCATGACGTCAGCAAAAACCTCCACTTTATCCTCAGTCCTGAAAACTATGCCTCCAGGATCATGAATATGTGTAGTTCTTCTTGCCTTCTGTTTCTGAGCGATTTTGCCACTTTCCCGAGAGGAATACTTGATTCAAGCATCCCCGCCAGAAAGTCGCTCCACTGCTCATTGCGGAATTCATGGAGTCCATTTCTCACTTCATGGACGAGATTCGTCGCTCTACGAATGTCCTCAGGATGACAAGACCTTTTTACTTGCTTAATCTCAGCCATCTTTTCAGAAATTTTCCGACGGATGTCAGCAGGGAGAAATCATTATGACATTATGACTGCCACAAGGGCGCGCAATTCAAATATTGCGTTCTCATTGACATACCCTTTAGGTACATAAAACTTCATTCACAATTATTTTGAAATTGTTCAAGCAAAATCAGAGGGTATGTGTTTGATAAAAAAAGAGCTTTCATTCTTTTGGGAAGGCATGGCAGAGCTTATCATGTCAGGGTAAAACTTACGTCAGCTTTCATGGAAAGTTTTACAATTGAAGTTAAGAGGGCAATGTTGGTCATCTCTCTATTACATAAAAAGGTGTAGACACTAGAATATATAGTACTTCTTGGAGGCAAAACATTATTTATTTCATCAAAATAAACAATTTGGAAATCACCTTTATTTCACTTATATGCAAAATTTTAACCTCCGACAAATGTTTGTCACTCTCTAAGATTCTTACAAGTTTATTTCCCTCTGGATTACAAAGTAACATGTGGATAGGTCGCATTAAAATTAAACTCAAGTAAACGCTTCACGAAGTCTATCACACTTTTCACACCATCACAAAGTGGTAGTCCGACTGACAATGGCATCCGGCAGATGTAATGTCCTGTTGGATAGCACGTCCGGGCTGTTTGGTTCACCTCCTGACGCAGCTAACTCGCACTCAAACCTCCATAGGATGTTCTTGGGAGGGGGGATGTCCAGCTGGAGGGCAGATTCGTCTGCCGTATGCTGAACCTTGGAGCAGCTGCAGGCTGATGCTGGTCGCGAGGGGTGGACTGTGGCTGGATTCGAAATTTGTTCCCTGGAATAAAAAAAGTGCATATTACCGGGATCAGCAGTTTTTCTTAATAATACAATGGGATCAATTAAACAGTTCTGAAAAATTACTTAAACGGAATTTTCTGGAACCAGTTTAATTGAAAGTAATACTACAGGGTGTCCGCAAAGTTGGGGTTTTCCTTTCCAGAAACAACTACCCTTGAAATAACAAAGGTAATGTGTAGTGAAACGAGGGCGAACAAGTAAAAAAAAATAAAGGAAAAAGTACTCACTCTCCAGTTGACGAGAAGGGCTAAGTACGTCTCTGCCCGAAATCATACCGCTCCAACAGAAAATGAAATCAGCTGATGCGCTACCGAGCAGACGCCGGCGGTGGTGCAGACCACGAACAGAGGTAACAAATAAGACGGCGTTGCCGCGTTTTCAGTTTTTAGGTAAATGTACTTTATAGGTATTGTTCGAAGTTATGGCCGTTTGATTCAAAAACACAGGTGCGTGTAGCCAAGCATCGGTGCAGGCTTTGAGAATGGAGTCCCTCCCCCGAATGAAAGCACCAGCTTGTTCAATTCTGAGACGAAGTTCGTCAACCGTATGCACTTCAGTTTTGTACACTAAGTGTTTCATTTCTCCCCAAAGAAAAAAATCACATGGTGTTAAGTCTGGAGATCGCGGAGGCTACGCTACGGGTCCATTACGTCCGATCCACCTATTCGGAAATAATTCATTCAAAAACTCACGAACTTCGCGTCTAAAATGGGGCGGTGCACCATCGTGCAGAAACCACATTGATTGTCTTACACTTAATGGCACATCTTCTAACAAGGAAGGCAAAATGTTGCGTAAAAAGTCTAGGTATTGCATCCCGTCCAATCGATTTGGGTGAATAAATGGT